AAGCTGACAGAAAAGGAGCCAGCACAGGAGACATACTACAGGTGTGTGTGTGTAGGGTGTGCACACACGTGTAAAAGTCATATTCATTCGCTAATGACGACCAGAAGGCCTGCTTGATAAGGTCAGCACACACAATCCTTTCGTCAGCCTGCCTGTTTACCACCAGCCAGGCAGACAGCTGCTGAGCACTTCTGGCCTTGATGGGCACACCTACAGCACATTCTGATGATACAGATGGCGTCCCAGATGTGACACAGTCACCTCCACGCTGCGAGATTCCTGAGAAGTTGCCCAACCCCTCTGGACCTCAGCTCTTCACTGTGATACTGTCTGCCTCAGAGATTGAGGATTAAATTTCTTTTGGGTACCATGTAAAATGGAACACGATGTGTGATGGGAGGGTACACAGATTCTCAAGCCCTCCCCCTCCCCAGACTCACCAGGGCCAGAGTTCCTGAGGACTCCAAAGTGGGGGGGGGATCCACAAGAGACCCATAGCCCCTGCTTTTCAAGGCATGCTGGAGGCCATTACTGAGGCAGGGAATGTGTCTTTATTTGTCACACAACCACGGTTCTGCTGACTTCTGCTTTCAGTGCTGGTCGCTTCGCGTATTATGTAATATGAAGGTTTCTTAAAAGATTAATCTTAATAAGGCTGAAACTCTCCTTCCTGCTCTGGAGGGCAGGACTTTTCCTTTGTTCCCACTACAAACCTGGCACTCCGCCCATTGCCAGCAAGGCCAGCGTCGGCTCAGCAGGTACAGCTGCCGCCAAGCCTGGTGACCTGAGGGAGGTTCATCCCCACACGTGGCAAACATTCTTCTGACCACACATGCTGTGACAGGTGTGTGTGTGTTTGGGGGGATGTTCATGTATGTATGGGTATTCGTGTGTATGTGTGTTAGTGTGTGAGGGATGTTCATGTGTGGGGGAGGTTTTCATGTATGCATGTGTGTATATGTGTGTTCATGTGGGGTGTCTTCATGTATGTGTGTTCATGTGGGTGTGGGGAGGTGTTCGTGTATGTGTGTGTGTTTGCGTATGTGTGAAATGTATTTTTAAAAAACTCAAAAAACGGTACCAAATGCCACAGTTCAAAACAAAACACTGCTGAGCTGGCCATGGTTCACACCTATAACCCCAGCACTCAGGACAGTAAGGTAGAGGCAGTCCCTCCCTGTAGCTTGGGCTAAAAGTGGCACCCGGTCTCACAAAATAAAATGAATAAATATATACTCAGAATTGCCAGCCGTTGACGGGGTGGGATGGGGGGATAGGGGCACGCCACACCGCCACGCCACATTGCCAACCTTCTAAGCCATTTGCATTTCTGCCCTCCTGTTAGGAGCTTTCTCTACACCTAATCTCCAGAAAGTCTGTCCCATCACCAGTGGCAGTTTCTACAACAGCATGGGCTTTGCAAGACTGACATTCCAAAAACAGAGACTCCGCCAGCGACAGGAGAATGAGGACGTTAACTACTCTCTGAAACCAGACACATCTGTCCCCCGGAGTCCCTCAACTGGCACCCAGGGAAAGTTAACCTTGGATCTGCTAGACAAGCCAAGGCGTCCTGGGGAGGAGCCCTGGCCTGGGAACAGAGTACACCCATACACCCACAGGCCTTGCTGGATGTTGGTGGCAACAGCAGGGGGCAGCAGGGGAGCAGGACCATCTCATACCAGCTGACCGCAGCACTTCCTAAGCTGTCACCTTTATTGCTGATGACTGGTACCCGCACCTACTCGATAAACGGTGATGGGAAAATGTGCTGTTTTGAAAAGGGCTGGTGCCTATTTTATATCAGCTGCATAAAGAAATTCTGGCTGCCTTTGTCGTTAGCAATAATACACATTCGCTAAGAAATAGGTACAGGGAATCTAGGCAACTCTGGAATGTAAAAAGATGTTGTACAGATGGGGCTGGAGGTGCGGTCGGTGGTAAGTGTCTGTTTAACCTGTGCAATGCCTGACTCCAACCCCAGCAGCAGCAGAATGGGAAAGGGGACGCGGGGACGCCAAAATACACGCCATGGACATACGCAGCATGATCAATTATTGGAGACACTGAGCTCAACAACAGTGGAAAACTATAAATCACAGTCAGAAAATGTCATGTCTTAAAGGCACCGCAGTGGCGTCCCCAATAAAAACTAAAGGGCCTGTAGCAGGCTTACTGCTTTGTTTAAAGGGGTGTGCTCCTGAAAATGGGTACATTGAAAGAAATGTATGCAAGACACAGTGAAATATCAGCAGGTGTCGTAGGCTAATAGAAATCATCATCCTTTTTCCAACCCGTGCTTCAATGGTCTTCAACTTCTTGAGGAAACAGTCATCTCTTGAAATCCACAACAATTTTCAGTAGTCAAAATCACGTATGGCGCAAAAGCAAACTGTGTTACAAATTCACCAAATCCTAGACAAGCATATTGTTCTGGCTGTCATGGTCTGGCAGGGCGGCTACCAACTAGGGAGTTTTGGAAGTAGACAAGTGTGGGAGGAAAAGCAACCACTCCACAAGAAGATGAAAACACAGGCTTGCCCTACAAAGTGGGCAACTGCAAGAGGCCCCTTTCTGGCTTTCCCATCTGCAGCAAGGCAGCTGCGAAAGGGAACCTCTGAACCTAGAGACAGAAAAGTAGACACACAAGATGTCATCGCTGTCCACAGGTGGCTTCACCAAGTCATAGCCCTCCCACGATGCCATCAGGACGCATGTCAGCGCAGTGGGCCATCCTCAGCCTTCATCAGCATCACCTGGACCCCTCGTGAAAGACACACGTATGGAACAGGTACCCCCACAGCTTCTGATTTTTCTGAACCCGTCTGCAGGGTCACTGGAGATCCTGCATCGTTCTAACAAGCTCCCAGGTGATGCTGCTGCGGCCCTTCCGACTGCCCAGCTTTGAGAGCAGGTGCTGGATAAGACAGCAGATGCTCCACAGACTTCATCTTCAACGACAGGAATTGTAAGGACGTCCCTTGAGAAACTCAGCCTGTAAGAACAGGAGCAAATGAAACTCCTCCTCCATGCCTGGGAGAACCAACCCCCAGGGAAAAGCAGCACACAAGACAGGTTCCGGGAGCCAGACTGCCCAGGTGTGGAGCCTGCTGGACACTCAGCAGCTGTGTGGTCCTAGATAGGTGAACCAAAATATCTGAGTATGAGTGTCTTCATGGGTGTAAACTAGATAGAGGGGAATAGCTCATTTCTCTCCAGCTGGGGAGTGGAAACGGGTGCCCACCCAAGCCAGCAATGGGAGGTCGTTCCTTTTCTTTCCTGCCTCTACCTACTGAGTGCTGGGATTAAAGGCTTAAAGGTGAGTGACACCTCACCCCACAAAGCTATTTACTTACATTCTTTAAGATTGGGTATTGACAGATATAGGCTCGACACCTATATTCCCAGCACTCAGGAAACTGAGACAGTAAAGAGGATTGCTGGGAATTCCAGGACTTCAAGACCAGCCTGCGCTGAGAGAGACTGCCTCAAACAAACAAGACTGAGGCGCTGTCCGAGCAGGTGTCATTTCCTCAGGCGCAAGTCCTCTTCCTTTCTTAGCCCCGACAGGTATGTACCACTCACACCCAGCTCTCCCTTCACCTAGATTTTGAAAGTCCACACACAGAAATGTCAGCAAGGGCTCCCCGTCCTAGCCAGGAGGTGGTGGCGCGTGCCTTTAATCTCGGGAGGCAGAGGCAGGCGGATGATCTCTGGCTCTACAGATGAGCCCAGCCTTGTCGAGCTCCAGGATAGCCAAGGCTACAGAGAAACCCTGTCTCGAAAAACCAAAACAAAAGAGTTCTGCGTCCTTCCAAAAGCGCAGGAGACCAAGACTGTCCGCCTGCTTTGAGTTATTTTTTATATTAATTTCACCCATATTCCTTCTTCCTGCCTGCTCCTCTCTACCAAATGTCCAAGGTCAGATCCTGCACACATCATATACAAAATTAAAACAACAGTTCGCGACTCTGAAATTCTCTAGGTGTTCCCATCTTATAAAGGTAATATTAGAATGTGAGAAAAATAAAATAGCAGAGGCCAAAAAATAAAAGCTACTCTAGTTAGCCAAGCGTGAGTACTACCCAGCCCAGCCTACTAGATGGAAAACTCAGGAATGTCACTCACCTAAGCCTTTTCGCTACAATAAGCAGGGCAAGGCTGGGGCCAGATCAGGGAACCCAACATTGGTGTCTAGCATGGAGACAGTGGATCCTGTCTCCAAAGACTAGAGATCTTCAGAAGAGACCACACACACACGTTTAAGAAACTCATCCAAGAGCAACGTAGTCATCAAAGGCAGAAATGAGAAGTCCATCTAACAGGGAAACACATGGCTGTGTGTCGTCAAGGGGGAAACCTTTCGCAGATCTTGCTCAAGATCCGTGTCCCCATTCATAAGTAAAGAAGGCATGATAATGAACTCATATTTTACCCACACAAGCTCAGCCGTACTTAGGTACCAGGACACACACTGAGGGCCAGAAAGAGAGATGGGGTCCCAGAGGTTATTAAACTCCTCTGCAAAGACACACACAAACACCTATGGTGGCTATCCGTGGAGTTCAAAGATGTCTAGGGAGGTGCTTCTGAAGCCGGTGGGGACACCAGAGCTTGGAGCGGCGACTAGACAAGACCAGGTGTTCACATTTGCTTTTTAGTTCAAAGAGGAAGAAAAACGTGCAGTTTGGGCACGGGAGCTGGACCAGAGAAGGTGAGGAGGCATGCGGGGGCAAGACAGCGACTCTGCACCTCCCACGGATCCCCGAGCTTGCGGGTGGGAGCCACCTGTGCCTGCCACCCGGGTCCCCGGCTTACAGCTCCGGCGTGGAGCGGCGCAGGCGTGGGGAGCCGGCGGGGACCGCAAGCAGCGCGGCGCACGCGCGACGGGGGGAGCCCGGAGTGTGCGGCCGCGCAGGGAACGCATCCTCCGAACGCCTCGAACCGGCCGGCGAGGAGCATCTCGTGGACGGTGAGGCGGGCCCAAGCGGGGCACTCACCAGAATAACAGGCGCGAGCAGAGGTTGGCGTCCTGCAGCGGGTTGGGCTTCACCTCGGTGTGCACGGGCAGCATCTTGCCTAGGGTACGCGCGGCCGGGCGGGAGCGCAGCGGCCGTGTGCGCGGCTCCGAAAGGCGCTCCCGGCTGAGAGGATGCTGGAGCTCCGGGCCGGCGCGCCGGTCCGCTCGGCGGGCTCCGCAGGCAGCGGCTTCCGGGAACCGGCCCGCCCTGACCCCGCCTCCCGGGACTCCTCGGGGCGCCCGCTGCGCGCCGCCGCCGCCTCCTGGAGCCCGGGAGCTGCGCGTCGCGTGCGAGCTCAGTGGGAGGGGAAGGCGGGTAGGGAACGGCGGAGACCACGCGCAGGGAACGAGCGGCGGCCCGGGGAAAACGCGAGGCCGGGCTGCACGTGCTCGGGACCCGCGGCAAACTTTGCCGAAGTTTATTAAGATCGGCGCTCCAAGCACCACCCTGACGGGGGCGGGGGCGGTGCCGGCTGTGCCCGCCCCCCGCGCTCAGAAACGCCCCGTGGACTGAGAGCTGCTGGAGATCGGGTGAAAGCGGCCCGGCTTTGGCTGCCCTTCCCCTGGCATGTTGCCTTCATCAGGACCAAATAGGGCGCTGTGGGAGGTTCTCCGACCTGCAGGCCGAGAATCTGACCCGGAACAGCAGCAAGGTTTAACAGATCCCCTCTGCAGACCTGAAATCAAGCGGTGAAGACACACTGGGTTAGAACTCAAGAATGTGAAGAGATGGATGGATATTGCCATTTCGGGCGGGCGTGGCGGATCTCTGTGGGCAGTTGGCTGCCCTCTTAGCTTGGGTAGGGGAAATGAGATAACACACTTCACCAAGCAAGCCCTGAGAGGCTAGCAGAGGAACAGTGACAAAGGGAACAGATATCCCAGGACACCTTGGTGTGCCTTTCTGTATACCTACTCCACTTTTAATTTGAATAGTGCCCCTTTCGAGACGGTTATTCCTATTTTATGTAGCAAACTCAGATTCAGAAGATGCAGCTTCTCCAAATCTTAAGATGAGTGATGGATGATGAAATCTAATCTGTACTCAGGTTGTGGACTTGGACCATTTAAGAGGTAGGTGGTCGAGAAACATGAGCCTGCACCAACACAATGAATAAGATGGCTTCCCAGCTTTTGGACGCCTGTTCACAAGCCCTGGGTTCTATCGGGGGTCTTGGTAACGGCCTCGACCGTTTCTGTTCACGGCAGCACCGGATAAAGACGCGCAGTTCTGAATTCATGGCGCGAATGAGTTTCACCCTTCCCTCTGACCAGAGACAACTTCGGAGGAAAGGGTTGCTCTCAGGCTTACACTGGCAGGTAACAGTCCCTCGCTGCTTGCTCAGCTCCTGGCTGCTTGGAAGGACTGCTGCCTGCTGAGTCAGGCCCGCAGTGGGCCGGACCTTCCGGTCCACTCACGACAATAAGATATCTCTCAGGTAGCCGCAGGCCAAGATGATCTGGGCAGTTCTTCAGTTGAAAGTTCCCACTTTCCCTGTGACTCTAGGTTGGGTTGGGTTGACAAAAAATAGCCAACTCCACTTTCATTGGTCATTTCCCTTGTATGTTTATTTAAATGGCCTTATTGACAGTCTTTACGGCCTTCATATAAATAAGAGTTCACTTAGATAGAAGTTGAGCCGTCTGTGATGGGTCCAGGCCCTTAATTCCATCATTTTGGAGGTGCAAACAGAGTCAACAATTCAGGGTCATCTTTGAAGGAGAGAGGCCCTGTCTCAACAAAATAAAAATAAGTAAGTAGAGATAAAAGTAATAAGCCAGGCAGGGAGATCTGAAGTTCAAGATCAATGGGATACCTGGGGAGTTCTAGATCTGATTGGATACATAGGGAGAGACTCTACGAGAGAGAGAGAGAGAGAGAGAGAGAGAGAGAGAGAGAGAGAGAGAGAGAGAGAGAGAAGAATTGGCACAGGGTCTCATGTGCCCCTATATTAGCCTTCTAACTCCAGTTGTAACCGGGGATGACCTTGAACTCCCAATCCCTTTTCATTCACCTTCCAAGTGGGGATCACGGACCTGTCCATCGAGCCTGCTTATCAATGGGATTTTGAGGCTAGGGAGACATCCCAGTAGGTCATATGCTTGCCTTACAACCCAAGGACCAAATTCATCCCACTTCCAAAGACAAGCATGGTGGCACACATTCCTAGATGGGCGAGGAGAAGGCAAGTGGGTCCCAGGGTCCCTGGGTATCCGGCCTACCCTACCTACTTCATAAGTTCCAGGGCAGTTAGCGGCCCTGTTTCAAACAAGAAATAAAAGGTAGCTGGTACATGAGTAACAACAAGGTTTTGCCCAGACGCACACACAGAGACTTCATATATAGCATATAGAAAGATGATAGATAGATAGATAGATAGATAGATAGATAGATAATATCTAGATATATAGATATAAAGTCTCATCTACTCGGGATGCTAAGACAATAGAAGGACAGATGGATCTCTTGAGCTATGGACTTCAGGACCAACCTGAGCATCCAAAAAAGAGAAAGGATAAATAAAAGTCAGGTACATAAAGTAGCAAAATGTTGATCATTTTGAACTGAATGAAGTTTACCATACAGTATCTTGGGCATTTCACGCATGCTCAGATAAGGCCATGTGTAGGAGCCAACCTCCAGGCAGGGCTCACCTCATTTCTGATGCTCTTTGAAACGCCCTGTGTTTTCTACCCGGTGCGTTTGTTCATCGGCCAGTTCCACTTCAAAGCCCAAAAGCTTGTTTGCTAAAGTTAGAAGTCTAGTGGCTGGCCTTGCGCCTGGCCCATCCCCTGTGGCTGTGCTGGGGCTGGTAGGCTCCTCACTGCCAAAGCCCTTAGTCCCTTCAGCGTTCGCTGAGATGCTGGCTTTTTAGAGTTTTTAACTACGTGATTTTGAAACTTGTTAACATTCTTTTCTGAACACTAACTTATGTGGCATTTAGGAGAAATACTGAGAACCAGTGTCTCAGAGTAAAGCGGGGAGGGGGAGGCCTTAGGGGAGCAAGGTTTTTGACCCCTTAATAGCAAGCCTTGCTCACGCTTCCTTTTCGCAGGTCGTAATGAGTTTCTGAACCCCACTCTTCACTCCTCAGGTTACTGTGAGCCTCAGTTCCGCAAGGCAGTCTGAAGACAAGGTACAAATCAAAAGAGCTATTCTCATTTGTTCTGCCAACACTGGGATTAGGGTATAGTTGTTGGCAGAGTGCTTGCTTTAGCTTGAGGCCGTGCGTTGACTCCACAGACACACACACACACAGACACACTCAATGGACATGTGTGCATATGTAATAAGTGTGGGGCTTCGGCAGAGGTGTGTTGGTGGAAGCCTAGAGAGAAGTCCCTTGTTTTCCTTTCAGGAATATGCTCTCTTTGTACTTTACAGTTAGACCAAGCGCTAGTGTGCAAAGCTGGAAGAGCAGCCTCTGCTCGGAGTTGCTTGCTGGCTTGGAAGAATCTGACGTTATGACGAAAAAGACAAACACGAACCAGTGTCAGAGAGGAGGAAGCTGGAGCACAGCCCCAGACAGCGCTGACAGGGAGCTGGAGCGCCCTGGAGCAGCTTAAGCTGGCAGGCTTAGGCCGTTCTTCAAGAAGTCTAAGAGTCAAAGCATGACTCAGCAGTTCTGCTGCGGGGAGGAGGGGGAAGAGCCGAGAGAAGGAACGTGCTTATCCACTGGAGTGCAGGGATAGCAGAACGTCAGTATTCAGAAGGGGGGGAAGGAAGCACGTGACCACTACGGGCACATCAAATGTGGCATAGCCATACAGTGAAATATTACTTGCCACTTCGTAAAAGAAGAAGAGATCATCCAATTCACAGGGGTTAACAGCATGAACAAACGTGTTAAAAGTATTTTGGGGCAGCATGAACAAACATGTTAAAAGTATCACGCATGGAAGGCTGGAGACATGCTTCAATGCGGAAATGCACTTGTCCTTCCAGAGGACTGGGGTTCAACTCCCAGCAGCCGCATGTTGGCTTACAAACATCCTTAACTCCAGGTCCAGGGGCCCCTACACTCTCTTTTGATCTCTGCTGGCACCACACATACAGGCAGAACAGTCATATAATAAGGCATAAATTTCAAAATACATATTATATTTTAAAAAATATATATGGGGGTGTATCACACACACCAAGCTTGGGCCAGCAAGATGGTTCAGTGGGTAAAGGCACTGGACACCAAGCCTAACAACCTGAGCTCCATCCCTGCGTGGTGGGAGGCGAGAACTGACTCCCGCATATGCACAGTGGCACACGTGTAGATCCGCCTGCAGAAACACAATAAATTACAAGTTTTACAGAGCCATTCAAAATATCATGCAATGAAAGAATAGAGGAAGAAAATACTAAGATGCCCTCTGCTGTGTATGTTTGGAGTCGGGGGTAATCAGCTTTAAAAGATTGTTTTGGCTCATACTCCCTGAAATCTAAGTCCAGGATCATTTGTCCCTGTTATTTGGCCTGTGATGTCACAGTACATCATGATGGTCCCAGTGAGAGGTTAAGGAAGACTTCAACTCAGGCTCCTGGAAGCAAAGCAGAAAGAGGTTATCCCACTATCTCTTTCTAAGGCAAACCAAGCTTCCCTGCCAGGGAAGGTGCTAATTAAATTACAAAGGACAGGCCTGGTGGTCCAGGCGATCCCAGCTGCTCGGGAGGCTGAGGCAGGAGGATCACAAATTCAAGCCTGCTTGAGCTACACAGCCAGTCTGAGGCCAGCCTGGGCAGCTAAGCCAGAGCTGCCATCAACATAAAAGTCAGCAGTGAGTGGAGGTGAAGCTCAGTGGTAGAAAGCATGTTGTCAGGCACGCACAAGGCTCAGAGTTTGAGCTCAAGATCACAAAAAGTCAACTGAAGAAGGTTCAGGGTTCAGTAAAATACAGGTATATATGTTATACTCAATACATACCATCCACAAGCATAGGCTAGCAAACACAGTTTCTGCCTTCAGGTTGGTCAGTGCATTCATTTTGTTTTTAATTGACATTTTTATTTATTGTGCATCCCTTGTCTGTGTGCCTGTGTGTTATGTGCGTGTGTATCTGCGCATGTGTGTCATGTACATGTGCATATGTCTGTGTGTGTCATGTTTGTATGCGTGTATGTGTGTGTGTTAGCTGTACATATACTGTGTACATGAGTGGAAGTCAGCCAGCCACTTACTGGGTCAGTTCTCCCCTTCCACCTCGTGAGTTCCAGAGCTCACTCTCAGGTTGTCAGTCCTAGCAACAGATACGTTTACCCTCTGAGCATCTCGACAGCCCAGGCAGTGTCTTTAACAAGTACTCCAGAGGGTCCTAATATGCAGTCAGAGGTGAAAGGTCAAGAGCTCTGTGTGCCCAACTGGCATCCCAGGGTGCGTGAACTTGCT